ATATTTATTCACCCAAACCATATTTGGTATCAATGTTATACCTAACAGTAATGGTAGAACCATATAGATTTTATAGTCCCTGTTCTTGAAGGGTGTCAGAAAAAGCAAATTATTGCTCAAAGGTGAATGCAGGTAGACAATTTAGATCTCTCTCATGAACAAGGGGCAAGATGAAAGCAACATCCTCTGACTTGAAAGGAAAAAAGTTGGGCTGAAGGTTAGATGCAAGCATACTAAGCTGGCCTGTAGACAGGGAAATTTCAGTGTGGAATCCTTGGGGCCCTCTGAGCTTGGTTGCTTTCTTGCAGATGTTTACCCAATGAAACATCTGAAACAACCACACTCAGAAAGCACCAAAGACCCCAGTTCAACCCTGAGCTTTAAATTTTATTGACACTTGGAAGTGTCAATAAAAGTGTGCACTGGATGATGGAAAGACATAATTATCCTTTAAGTTACAAACAGCTTCATTATGATAGCTTTAAAAAGATGTCTACATCTGGTGGGTGTCGTAAAATTTAATAAACATCCAGTAATTGGGCGAAACATATCAGATCACGAACTCCCAGGGTTTCTGGGACAACGATTTCATGAGACCAAATGAGGACAGACCTTTCCTCCTACTATGCGCAAGCCAGGTATTATATATTTGCCATAAAAAAAAAACCCTTAATATTCCTAAAATGAGCAGGAGACTTTTTGATTGCTCCTCCTCTTCTGGCTTTAACTACAGCAAGCGATCGTTTGGAATCTCCCTTTTTGTAACGCTACGACGCAGGGCAGAATCATTTACACAACATGCCTCTCCTCCTTTAAGGTTGTTATACGTGCTATAGAGGCCTATAAAAGCAGGGGATTGATCATTGCCGGATTGATAACTGAAGGGCAATCATAAAGTCTCCTCGTCGAAAAACGGACACCTACCCTCCAACCACCCGCCCATCCTTCCAGCGCCGTTTTCCCTCCCAATGCCTTTCAACCACGCCCCTTCCCGCCACGTGATTTTAATTCTGTCACCGCCATTTTGTAAGGACGAAGCCTCTGTGTAGCTTCAACGGCACATCCGGCGTTTGCGCTCGGTGCGCAGGCGCACGCGTCTCGGTGAGGGGGGAAATGCGCCGCAGACGCTTAAACAGGAGCGAAGCAGGAGGAGTGAGCGAGCGAGTGAGGGAGGCCTGTATGGACCCTTGAAGTCGTTCAGGCCATCCGCCTTGTCTCGTCCTGAGAGCAGCCCTCCCCCCCGGCCATGAGAGCTCAACGGTCCCGGCTCGGCTCCATCGACTCCTATCGCGGGTGTGGGCCACGCTCCCGCTCGCCCTCCCCGCGGGGTCACCGCAGCTACCACCACCACCACCACCATCGCTCCCCGCCTAGCCGTCGCTCTTCCCATCGTTCGTATCGCTCGCCTTCCCCGCGCCATTTCAGCAGGGTACGCTCGGTTGGCACTTCCTCCTTTCATCTACCTGCCGTCTCCGGTCCCATATCTGTGCTTTTAGCTTTTGGCGAAGGCGGGGGGAGCCTTCTTCCCTCCCCAGCCCCTGTTCCCTCCCTTTCGGAAAGTCGTCCGCCTTCCTCTTCCCCCATTTTGTGCAAGGGCCGAACCGTCTCTGACATCCCCCAAGCTACATAATTACATTTGCAAATCGTTTTTTTCCGCCCGACCGTATCGGAGAACCCGTTTGTTTTTTTTAGTGGAAGGTTCTGACTTGACGGCAATGGGAAAGGAAGAGAAAAGTTGCAAAGTAAATTATTAATATGACATCTACTCTAGGCATGCTTTGCCACCTCGAAATACTGGTTAAATTAAGTAGGAGTTATTTCTGAGTAAGCATTAATGTATGGAAAGTTCCTTTTTACATAAAGGGATCACTTTTTTTTTTTTTTTGCTTTCAGTTATATACACAGATGTTGGAAAGGTTCAATACTTTGTGGAACTTGTGAATGAGGTTGCTTCTTTTGCAGCAGATTAGTAAGCAGTTGAATGAGCTGGATGTGTAATAAGATTGAAATGTGAAGCATAATACGGTTATTTGAGTAATATACTGGGAAAAAAAATCAAACCTTTTTTAAAAACAGCACACCATGTTGTCATAGTCAATTCCATGATCATGTACAGGTAGTCTTGGACTTGCCACCACAGTCGAGCCCAAAACGTCTGTTAAGTGGAACATTTAAGTTGAGTTTTGCTCCATTTTACGACCTTTCTTGCCACAGTTGTTAAGTGAATTGCTGCAGTTAATAAGATAGTAACCCGGTTGTTAAGTGAATCTGGCTTCCCCATTGACTTTGCTTGTCAAAAGGTTGCAAAAGATGATGACATGATCTTGGGATACAGCAATAAATATGAACCAGTTGCAAAGTACCTGAATTTTGATCACATGATCATGGGGATGATAAAAAAGTTGTAACTGAAAAATGATCATAAGTCACTTTTTTCAGTGGTTATAACTGAACAGTCACTGAATGAACTGTTCTAAGTCAAAGACTACCTATATTCCTCTGAAATGATAGTCCTGTTTTTCTTTACGTATTTGGCATTATGCACTTCGTTGGATTTATTGTGTAGAAATGATTTGCATAAATTAATATTTGAAGCTTCAGAACCAAGTGTCAACTCAAAAATATTTCTCTGGTCTTTTAGAGTTGTCAGCAGAAAGGGAGTGGGGGAAGTACTGCATGCCTTAAATATTTTCATAGATAATTGCTAGGCGTCCAAAGCTTCTGGCGCACAAGATCATGATTGATGACTTTTGGCTATGGATGTATCCCATTGGAGAATATACATCCTGGTGGTGGGGGAAGACCAGGGTCAAGGGTGAGATGAATGAGTCTCAGAGTCGGTTGCACCCAAGTAACGCTGGCATGTTCACTCCTAATAAATGGTTTTTTTAAACTCTGAGAGATGTGGCTAGAGACTCCTGGTTTGAATGGGGGTGGATTGTCGGAACCCTGACACCAGGGCTATACTTTTTTCAGTGATTGATCTATATTACTTTGGTTTCCTGTTTCTTTAGTAGAACTTCATGTATCCCCATGAAGAACTATACATTTTCTGTGTCATTTTTTCCATCTTGGAAGCCAAAGATATTGTGAAAAAGGACAATTATTCAATCTCATTGTTTTGTCAATAATGTTCTTAGTATGTGAAAGGAACAAAGTTATATATTTTCTCTGTCACATAATAAAAGATGTAATTTCTGTATTATACAACAACATACCAATTTGTGAGTATAAATTTTCTAAAAAAAATACATTAGGACTTTTTTGGACTTAACCTTTTGGACTTAGTCTTGGAGTGATATAATCCAGAAAATAGATCCAATTCAAAAATTAAATTGGATCAAATTAATGTTTAAGATACAGTGTTCCCTAAACAGGAAAGATTGGAGATGGACCTTAAAACTCAGTGGAACCACTCCTTCTCAAAGATGTATTTATCCTTGCATGTTATGTTTGTGTCAATTTTATGAAACAATGCATTTCTGGTACTCAGAGACTGTTACCACTCCTGGAATGCTTCAAATCAATGGAGAAAACCTAAAGAAGGTGGACATTTTTCGGTATCTGGGATCCCATCTCCAGGGCAATGGCGACATCAATGGTGAGGTGCGAGCAAGGGTGAATGTAGCCTGGATGCATTGGCGAGAACTCAACCCATCTTAAATCTAAGATACACAAGACTACCATCCACCCTATTGCACTGTATGGCACTGATTGCTTGGCAGCAACAACAGGGACCGAAAGCTTTCTCCATGCCATGGAAATGTGAATCCTCCGTTGGATATCAGGCATCTCCCTTCCTGACCACATCACAAATGACACCATTTGACAACATTTTGGTGTGGCACCAATTATAGACTCTGCTGGTATGGACATGTCCAGAGAGCAGCACCTTACACCATGGCCAAGACTGCCAACTAGAAATGGCCGGTGACCTCGCGGGCGTCCAAAACAGAGATGGCAAGATACCACCAACAAAGATACGCACGCTGAGGGCCTGCATCCTGGAGACGCAGCTGACCATGCAAAGTGGCATTCAGTGATCTGAAAAGTGGACCCTGCACCTGTGGGAATACACTAGGAAGAAGAAGGAGAAGGAGGCATTTCTATACATATAAATTTTTCTGTGAAAATAAATTGTGCAAAAAATGTGAAATTATGAAAAAAATCATTCCACATCATGAGCTACAAATTTTTAGTGAAAATTTATAACCCTTCTAAATAACTCTATTTCCTTGCTTGTTGAAACATTTATTTTCATATCTTAATTCAGATAACAGAAGTAGATATGAGCTATGTGTTTCACATTAACAGTCTCTTGTTAAAATGCTACATTGCATAATATAGCCGCCTTTTAACTGTTTTTCTCTTAACTTTTACATAATATATCCAGTTTTAAGGTTTGTTGCAACAATGGAAGATACAAAGCCTGTTTTATCAAACAGATAGCATATTGTAACGGTTGCCTATTCCTTCCCTCATTGCAGAGATATTCGCCCTCATATTCTCCAAGGGAGCGCTCACGTTCTCCATGCCGACGTTCTGAATCTTCAGTGGAAAAATTCTTGCGGGCCGTAGTTGAAAATGGCCAGGATGGTATTGGCACAAACTCACCAGCTAATAGTCTGAGCAATGTAAACAGGTATGGTTCTTTGAAAACTAGCCTCACAAAATTGTGATTTTTTTTTGTTTGTATCCTATTGTTTCAAATAAAATGATGTCTTGCTATGAGACGGTTTGGAAAATATATATTGGATGGATTATATTATACGTTCCTCATCTTAGGACACATTCATATTTTTTTGTTTATGAGGCTTATAGGCCACCTCAATCTCTTGCAACCCAGGGTAACTTAAAAAATACAATATAGCACTGTAAAAACCAAAGGGCTATATCATTAAAATTTCAAATTGAATATTGCAATTGGAGGAGGGTTTAGATAAGAATCCTTAAATGTTTGGGACTGTCAGTTGTTTTCAGATCTCTTTAACAGTTGCAGCAGTAATGCTGAATATTGAATCAGAATCTAATGTGGCAAAATTCTCTTAACAGCTTGATTTATGTACTTTGATTTATCTTGGTTTCAGGTAGTTCTAACTACTTTGGTATGTCAGTTTCTGTTCATTTCTACATAAATCTGTAGTGCATTTCAGTGCATGTTTAAAAACAAAGTCTAAGATGCAAATACAATTTAATCTTAAAAGCAGCATTTAAGTTTACAAACCAGGATAAAAATAGGTATACTGTTCAATTTTGAAATATATTTTTCTTTGCAATCTCCAATTTCTCTTTATAATTTTATAAATCTTTATCTTATTTTTTTCTTGTAATTAGTGGCAAAGTTGGTGCATTTTGATGATAAAGTATGCAGTTTGCTTATAAATATAATGCACTCTGTCCTGTTATTAAGAAATGCTTGTAGTAGTAAATCTATTTTTTAGTTCTACAATAACCACTTAAGAGGATATTTTTCATGACTTAAAAGTTTGTATTCCTTGTTAATTTTCACTCTTTGATAGGAGGCATTGAAATAATAATAAAAGCAAATACATTTCTTAAAAGTAAGAACTAATGTTTGAAGTCCTGCCAGATTTCTGGGGAAAGAGTGTTACTCTGGGCAGGGACAACTATAGAGAAGGTGCATTTCCTTGGTCCTGCTAGATGACAAAGTTTAAAAGAAACAATGTGGAGTGCTCACTGTATCTGATCAAGTGGAAGGGCCAAACCCCTCAGAGAGATGAAGTCCTATAAGAAGCCTGATCCTATGCCATTTAAAGCTTTAAAGGTGATAAACTAGCATTGAACTGCAACAGGAAGAAACTGAAAATCGTCCCTGCTCACTGTCAGTTCTTCAAGGAAGACCAGAGCAGGAGCCAATGTTACATATGTTAATGCTGCCTTAATTATAAGGTTATGATAACAGAACTTGTCTGAATGCACTCTTTCCCCCTCCACCCCTATCTTTGAGAGAACTAGTAAGGATCAAGCCTGAGATTCTTCTCAAATTACATTTCAGACTGAAATTTATTTTTTCTGATCAATGTCTTGGTTGAGACTCCTGTCTCCTATTCCTCAATATTACTCTTTTTTTTTTTTTTTGAGACAAATTTTATTAATTTTAAAGACAAACAAAACATCATTAAACATTGAACACATGAAACCTCTTTCCATTATAAATTTTTGCAAGGCAGATAAAACATTATTTTATACAACATAATTCTAATCTACCCCATTTCCATATGGACACAAATATCTTTTAGCAAATTTCTCATTATTTCTCTTTACTCTTATTCAATTACATTTCTTTTCTATATTTATCCATTTTATAGTCATCATATTCATATTTCCCTCTGACTTGTTTACAATTATTCTCATCTAACTTTCCTCCAAGGTTTTATTAATTCTCAAACAAACACAAACACACAAAACACAAAAACATAAAACTTCTTTTTAGAAAGTGGCTTGGCCCCAGATTACCTCTCTTTATACGGACTTCAATTAAATTCATGCTCATCTTATATACCATTACCTATCTTATTTACCATTCTATATCTTCTATATAACTTCTCCCCGCTTTTCACTCTTCTTAATTCTATTTTATTTATTTCATCTTAGTTTAAATCATTATACTTGTATCTTTTGTCCATTCTTTTCCAATTATCCATTTATCTCATTCCCTATAATAATAATAAAAAAAAGATTTCTCCTGAAATCACTAATCGAAGTATGATGCCTTTCTATCGTTCCCCTAAATTGACATTTAAAATAACACCTAGTTCCCAATCTGATTCTGCTTAGTACATTCTACCTACTAAGTTTTAAAAGAAAGAGAAAATAGTAAATCTATAAAATTAAATACATAATTAAATATTAAATCTTGTAACATTCCAATTATCTATTTCAAAGAGAAATGCTGCAATAATAAGTTTATAATAACATCAACACAATAGTCAATTAAACTCTATACTTGAACTAAGTATTTTAAACATTCCCTTTAATATTTTATTAAATCTTAAAAATCTATCATTATTAAGCATTTTAATATTTTAATCTTTTTTTAGATCTTATAAAATTCTAATTTTCTATTTCTAATACAAATACTACAATACTATCTTATGTACCTTGCAGAATCCTTTTTTTAAAATACATTACCCTTTATCCCTAAAAATTTTTTGCTTTTTCCCATCTTGTTTCATACCTTTGTGGCTTTTTTCCCCCTTTTCCCTTCCTTTCTTATCCCACCTGGCCTTTTTAACCCCCCCCCTCTCCTAACCTCCGCCTTTTTAGCTTCCCCTCTCTGTTGTATTCCTCTTTTCTTTTGCTTTCTAACATTGTATTGATTTTGCATCTTATTTTTCTCTTTCTTGGGTGTTTTTTTAGGTCTTAAGTCCTTCATTTTCCTTCCTCTCTTTCTCCTTTCTTTTTTAATCAAATTTTTGGCTTCATTAGAGATGGCTGCTTCTTCTTCTTCTTCTTCTTCTTCTTCTTCTTCTTCTTCTTCTTCTTCTTCTTCTTCTTCTTCTTCTTCTTCTTC